ACATGAGTGTGTTTGAGGGAAGAGCTCGTGTTTCATGAGTGTGTTTGAGGGAAGAGCTTGTGTTTCATGAGTGTGTTTGAGGGAAGAGCTCGTGGTTTCATGAGTGTGTTTGAGTGAAGAGCTCGTGTTTCATGAAGTGTGTTTGAGTGAAAAGAGCTCGTGTTTCATGAGTGTGTTTGAGGGAAGAGCTCGTGTTTCATGAGTGGTGTTTGAGTGAAGAGCTCGTGTTTCATGATGTGTGTTTGAGGGAAGAGCTCGTGTTTCATGAGTGTGTTTGAGGGAAGAGCTCGTGTTTCATGAGTGTGTTTTGAGGGAAGAGCTCGTGTTTCATGAGTGTGTTTGAGGGAAGAGCTCGTGTTTCATGAGTGTGTTTGAGGGAAGAGCTTGTGTTTCATGAGTGTGTTTGAGTGAAGAGCTCGTGTTTCATGAGTGTGTTTGAGGGAAGAGCTCGTGTTTCGTGAGTGTGTTTGAGGGAAGAGCTCGTGTTTCATGAGTGTGTTTGAGGGAAGAGCTCGTGTTTCATGAGTGTGTTTGAGTGAAGAGCTCGTGTTTCATGAGTGTGTTTGAGTGAAGAGCTTGTGTTTCATGAGTGTGTTTGAGTGAAGAGCTCGTGTTTCATGAGTGTGTTTGAGTGAAGAGCTCGTGTTTCATGAGTGTGTTTGAGTGAAGAGCTCGTGTTTCATGAGTGTGTTTTGAGTGAAGAGCTCGTGTTTCATGAGTGTGTTTGAGGGAAGAGCTCGTGTTTCATGAGTGTGTTTGAGGGAAGAGCTCGTGTTTCATGAGTGTGTTTGAGTGAAGAGCTCGTGTTTCATGAGTGTGTTTGAGGGAAGAGCTCGTGTTTCATGAGTGTGTTTGAGTGAAGAGCTCGTGTTTCATGAGTGTGTTTGAGGGAAGAGCTCGTGTTTCATGAGTGTGTTTGAGGGAAGAGCTCGTGTTTCATGAGTGTGTTTGAGTGAAGAGCTCGTGTTTCATGAGTGTGTTTGAGTGAAGAGCTCGTGTTTCATGAGTGTGTTTGAGTGAAGAGCTCGTGTTTCATGAGTGTGTTTGAGTGAAGAGCTCGTGTTTCATGAGTGTGTTTGAGTGAAGAGCTCGTGTTTCATGAGTGTGTTTGAGTGAAGAGCTCGTGTTTCATGAGTGTGTTTGAGTGAAGAGCTCGTGTTTCATGAGTGTGTTTGAGGGAAGAGCTTGTGTTTCATGAGTGTGTTTGAGTGAAGAGCTCGTGTTTCATGAGTGTGTTTTGAGTGAAGAGCTCGTGTTTCATGAGTGTGTTTGAGTGAAGAGCTCGTGTTTCATGAGTGTGTTTGAGGTGAAGAGCTCGTGTTTCATGAGTGTGTTTGAGGAAGAGCTCGTGTTTCATGAGTGTGTTTGAGTGAAGAGCTCGTGTTTCATGAGTGTGTTTGAGGAAGAGCTCGTGTTTCATGAGTGTGTTTGAGTGAAGAGCTCGTGTTTCATGAGTGTGTTTGAGTGAAGAGCTCGTGTTTCATGAGTGTGTTTGAGTGAAGAGCTCGTGTTTCATGAGTGTGTTTGAGTGAAGAGCTCGTGTTTCATGAGTGTGTTTGAGGGAAGAGCTCGTGTTTCATGAGTGTGTTTGAGTGAAGAGCTCGTGTTTCATGAGTGTGTTTGAGTGAAGAGCTCGTGTTTCATGAGTGTGTTTGAGTGAAGAGCTCGTGTTTCATGAGTGTGTTTGAGTGAAGAGCTCGTGTTTCATGAGTGTGTTTGAGTGAAGAGCTCGTGTTTCATGAGTGTGTTTGAGGGAAGAGCTCGTGTTTCATGAGTGTGTTTGAGGGAAGAGCTCGTGTTTCATGAGTGTGTTTGAGGGAAGAGCTCGTGTTTCATGAGTGTGTTTGAGTGAAGAGCTCGTGTTTCATGAGTGTGTTTGAGGGAAGAGCTCGTGTTTATGAGTGTGTTTGAGGAAGAGCTCGTGTTTCATGAGTGTGTTTGAGGGAAGAGCTCGTGTTTCATGAGTGTGTTTGAGGGAAGAGCTCGTGTTTCATGAGTGTGAGGGAAGAGCTCGTGTTTCATGAGTGTGTTTGAGGGAAGAGCTCGTGTTTCATGAGTGTGTTTGAGTGAAGAGCTCGTGTTTCATGAGTGTGTTTGAGGGAAGAGCTCGTGTTTCATGAGTGTGTTTGAGTGAAGAGCTCGTGTTTCATGAGTGTGTTTGAGGGAAGAGCTCGTGTTTCATGAGTGTGTTTGAGGGAAGAGCTCGTGTTTCATGAGTGTGTTTGAGGGAAGAGCTCGTGTTTCATGAGTGTGTTTGAGTGAAGAGCTCGTGTTTCGTGAGTGTGTTTGAGGGAAGAGCTCGTGTTTCATGAGTGTTTGAGGGAAGGGCTTGTGTTTCATGAGTGTGTTTGAGGGAAGAGCTCGTGTTTCATGAGTGTGTTTGAGGGAAGAGCTCGTGTTTCATGAGTGTGTTTGAGTGAAGAGCTCGTGTTTCATGAGTGTTTGAGGGAAGGGCTTGTGTTTCATGAGTGTGTTTGAGGGAAGGGCTTGTGTTTCATGAGTGTGTTTGAGGGAAGAGCTCGTGTTTCATGAGTGTGTTTGAGTGAAGAGCTCGTGTTTCATGTGTGTGTTTGAGTCAAGAGCTTGTGTATATTACAGATACAGTGTGTAAAGACTCTCAGAACACACTGAAGAGAGCCCGGTTTGCTGATGACCTGAAGGAGAAGATCTCTCTCAGACCCGGTCCACTGGAGCTGGTGGAGAAGAACATCATCTCTGTTCATTCCACACTTAAACAAGCCGTCATCACGGGTAATATTAGAGTTATTAGATCTTTATAACTCTATATGAAAACGATGCTTCAGAAACTCCTGAAAACCAAAGCCTTTTCTCAGCTGACAGGATTGTTCTGGCAAACGTTATGATCAAACGTTCTCTCGGTAACATAATAGAAGACGTGATCTGTGTTTAATAATGTTCTCAAACATTTTTATTTATACATCATTCAGGGAACATGTGACACATTAAATGTTACTAGACTGGGTTAACTAAAACTGAAATCAAACCATAAAAAACATTTTCATTATTTGAAATAAAATGAACGTTAACTGAAATAAAATACAAAAATCAAACTTATTTTATTTCAACTAGTTACCAAGTTCTCTTTCTTTCAGTTAGTTTTATGTTCGAAACGAACTAAAACTTAAACATAAATAACAATTTATAAAAAACTATTAATGTAATAAAAATAAAGATTAATGCACAATATTAATGAAAAGTATAATGGTGTGTGTGGGAGAGAGAGTGTTTGAGTGTATACAATAATCCGAGTTTGTGTGTGTGTGTGTGTGTGTGAGAGAGAGAGAGAGAGATAGAGAGGTGTGTGTGTTTGTGTGTGTGTGTGTGTGTGTGAGCGTGTGAGTGGTTGGTCGTGTGTGTGTAACTGACCTGATATCTGAGCACGTGAGCTGCCAGCAGCAGTGCAGGGACTGCTTTCAATCAGGTTCTCTGCTGGGCACACACACGTCACACTCAGTGTGTGTGAGTTATTTCCTTCACTTGTTGATGTTGGACAGTTTGTGATATTGTGTCGAGGCCCAGCGAGCACTTAGATCATCTCAGTGTGTGTGTATGTGTGTGTGTGTGTGTGTGTGTGTGTGTGTGTGTGTGTGTGTGTGAAGAGAACGCTCTGTGCAATACCATTATTATTTTATTTAGAGATAAAGAGGAGAAGAGAATATGAGAATAAATACAATATGAATAATCATATTATGAGTAACTGTTATTATTATTGTCTTTCAGTCACAGTGTAGAAAGTGTCCAAATTATGTTACTTCGTTGACCTCAACATTTTTAACTCTTTCCCCACCAGCTGTGTTTCATAAAAAGGGCTAACGGCACATTTTAATTAGACTTTATTCAAAGTTCTCTGAGAAAAGCAGATTATGACACACACATTTGGTTGGACTGTAGCTGAAGATTGCAATCTTCAGCTACAGTCCAACCAAACATTATTCAGACAGCAGATATCAGTTTTGATATTTCTTCACTAGTGTGATCAGGACACTATAGTTCATTTCTGTAAGAGAGGAGAGCAGAATAAAGTAAACTGTGACATATTACACCCATAACATATTCTTCATGCAGTGACTACCAGAGACATTTATACACATTGGGGCCAATAATGAGTCCTCCACTTTGAGCTGTAATTGCTGATGCTCTTTTTACACACACACTGAACAACATGAAGCATTGCTTGGTCACTGGTTGAGCTAAACTGGTCTTATCTAATTGTGTAGTTAAATTTACCAGCTGACAGATATTCAACATAACTCATGTGTGAGAGTCCAACAGAAGGACGGACAAAACCAGTCACATATCAAACACTGATCTGAGAACTGAGTTCTGCTCATATTTATTACCATTTTATAAACTAGAGCGGATAAACTGATAATGTGAGAAATGTTGAAGGAGTCTGAATACACCGTTTTGACTGTATATAAGGCAGTTTTAATCTGAAGTGTGTACAGCGTCTCCATCTGATGAAACACCTTTGTTGGAGGTTTGGATGGAGAGGCATAAATCTCAGCAAGTCAAACAGAGAAACAGAGAAACGCTCATTTGATCTCGGTGAAAGGGCGGATCTAAATACAGCTGCTGTTTGTCTCAATAAAACCCAGCAGAGTTCGTATAAACCGGCGGCCTCGACCTCATACACTGCGTTTACACACCGCCCCGGGGATCATGCGAGTGTTTACATCAGTGTGTCTGAAACATGTGATCTGAGGGAGAACACACACGGGCCGAGCGCATAGTAAACACACACTCTGACATCAGGTGTGTTTGTGCAGAGGATTGAGGAATCCGCATCATCATCGCCCTCCAACAACGCTGACAGGAATATGCAGAAGAACGCGTTGATAATCTTCCAAAACGGTACTTTTAGGATCGTTTTAGAGACACTGTTATACTTTCCATTCATATTGTGCATTTTTATATTTCCAATTTTAATTAAGATTTTTTTGTTGTTAAAACGGATCTATACGTTAAGGCGTAAAGATTTTTATACTGTACAAATTATATTTTCTATCCCCTACACTAACCCTACCCAACACACACACACACCACACACTAATCCGACCCCTAAACCAAACCATTACACGCACCCGCACACACACACACGCGTCTGTACGTCTGTGTGTAAGAGTGTTCAACAGTAGCACATGCATCAGACGCATACAGACATTTACTCAAATATTTACACAGATTCGGAGCCTTGTACTCAAACACTGCAGGCGTTTAGATTTCCATCGTCTCAGATGACACACACACACACACGACTGTGTGTAAATGAGAGTAATCTCTGCTCTGTTAAGTCTTCTCGGATTGAGCTGTTATCCGTGTGTGGGTCCCTCTCATCAGTGTTTCCTGAACCTGTGTGTGTGTGTGTGTGAGTCCCGTATGTCACTGTCCCTCTTCCCTCAGGCTCCCATGGGAAGCTCCAGAGGCCCGAGGACTCGTATGTGTTTGAGGAGGAGAGCAGCAGCGAGAGTCTTTCTCCAGAGTCGCCATCAGAGAACAAGAGCTCGCCAACACACACCAGCGCTGAACACGTGAGTTGTTCACACACACCAGCGCTGAACGCGCAAGTCGCTCACACACACCAGCGCTGAACGCGCGAGTCGCTTACACACACCAGCGCTGAACGCGCGAGTCGCTTACTTTTGTGTGTGTGTTTGTGAGGTAATCGAACCTTCAGAACCGAACCGAATCGAACTAAAGTTTCAGCTCAAAATACCCCACAGATATATTTATATAGCATGTTCAAATTGCCACTTTGAGGGCGAGCAAAAACTCACCGTTTTTGTGTGTCCCTTTAAATGCAAATGGGCTGCTGCTCCCTGCACAGGGGGCGGAACTTCAAGAGCTCTGTCCTGAGCAGGTTCGATTACCTCACACATACATGCACTGAAAATTTCCAAAAAACTTTAGCCTTTTATGTTCAAACCGGAATCAGACAATGATGGAGAGACTGTAGAAGTCACGACATGTAGAAGCAACAGGACATTTCAGAACGGTTAGTTGATGAGCTTATGCCGCTGATGGGGAGTTAACTATCTTCTAGTCATTGATTAGCATATTGTGTCATAATCATCTATAAATCGCATTCCTGGGGGCAGGGCTTATGTAAATTTTAGGGTTAGTTATGTCACTACCCCGGAAGGAATGTTGAGTTAAGTTGTGTAAATCAGTTTTTTAAAAGAAAATTTCTCCCTTTGCTTTGAACTTTGAGTCGTAACTTGCAGATGTTGTTTATGCTCAAACAGCAACATTACACACTAACTACAGTTAGAAAAGTGAAATCATAATCAACCGCCCCTTCAACTGCAAAGGTTCAGGTGTGGAGGTGTTCTGCCCCCTGTGGTGGTTCAGGGAACTGCAGGTTCTGCTCAGGATCGTCTGACAGCTCTTTGACTCGGAGCCTGAGTTCAGTGTGTTTCTGACGCAGTGTTTTGTGAATGTTAGAATGATTGCCCATTCTCTGGTGATAATAAACGGCTCGCTGTATGTGCCTGGCATCACATCATCATGACCTGTTACTACAAACACACTGAGTAAAAGTGTGTGTGGAATATTTACTTTAGTGCTGTGACTTGTGAAAGCTGTAAATTATGTACATGTTTAATAATAATCACCTCATGTGTGGCATTTGTTAAATGCAAAGTGCATAAATCTTATAAACAATGTCCCCTGCATACCAACTTATGGAAACTCCAAGGTTTGACCTTTGCAGAAGTTTTTAACAGAAGACATTATTTATATACATTTTTTAACCCTTTAAGACTACTGATTCATATCTGATATAGTCTCTAAAAGTCATGTAGTCCCTCTATCATCTGAGTCATCAGCTTTATTTAAATAGCACTTTCAAATCAGCTTTACAGTGAAAACAGGAAAATAATGCAAATATTGTTTTGGCAAAGAAATCTGTAGTAGAGGCGAAGGCTGCCCTTCAAATTGGGGATATCGTTGGACAGGTACAGCATGGAAGAGGGGGTTTTGGGCTCACTGTAGCTCCTCCTAAATGGCACAAGGCAGGCCCAGCTCAAAGGAGGAAGATGGTGGTCAACGAGGTGCGAAAGCAGGAGGAGAGGATGAGGTGTATAAAGGCCATTTCCCAGGCCAAGCAGGGAGAGTGGATGAGATGGGAGAGTGTGGAACAACGCAAGTTGGGATGGCAAGACCTTTGGTCAATGGAAGAGAGTAGGATCAGTTTCCTTATGAGGTCAACATATGATGTCCTCCCATCACCGCAGAACCTAAACCTCTGGGTAGGACAGGATCCCTCTTGTCCGCCACATTAAGGCACATTCTGACAGGATGTAAGGTGGCTCTTAGCCAGGGTCGGTTTACTTGGTGCCATGACCAAGTACTGCAATGTTTGGCTTTAGCATTGGAAGGCAAGCGTAGTATGACCAATAAGTTGCCGCCTGCAAAACATTACACGCAGAAGACAATATTCCTCCGCCCAGGTAAGCAACCACCAAGAAAAGGTGTTAACACCAATTCTCGCCCAGGACAACTGGAAACTGCTAGGGACTGGAAGATGCTGGCTGATCTTGATCAACGGCTTATTTTTCCACCTGAGATTGCTACCACTAACTTACGACCAGATATTGTTTTGTGGTCTGGATCAGCACGCATTGTTCAGCTGATAGAATTAACAGTGCCATGGGAGGATGCGGTAGATGAAGCAAATGAGAGGAAGAAACTGCGGTATGCTCATCTGGCCACTGAGTCAGAGCAGCGAGGATGGAGAGTCCAGGTTTATCCAGTGGAAGTGGGCTGTCGAGGTTTTGTGGCACACTCTACAACCCGGTTCCTCAGAGACGTCGGATTCAGTGGCCAAGAGTTGCGTTGCACAGTAAAGAGCTTATCTGAAGCAGCAGAGAGGGGCAGCAACTGGCTGTGGTTGAGACGGAAAGATTCTAGCTGGCTATGTACAGGCCGCCATGCTACGGTTTCGTAGAATTCTTGAAGAGTCTGTTTGTTTGTATAGGTTGCACTGAAATTACAGTCATTACGTTCCTGTGTATATTGTTTGAATGACGGTGGTTGGCCAGATATTGTGGTTTGCGGTAGATGGTATGCCATACGGAACCGTTTGCCACTGAAACTGCTTTATAATGCACCAGTGGGGCTCGAAAGCCTTTATCAAACAGGTTGGCACGTATGGTTGGGTTGCGTAAGATTGTGGTTCGGTCTCTGTAGGGGTCAGTAAGCTGGGCTGAGTTGAGTGGGGGACGGAGGGGGTGACTTAGGGTCACTGTCGAGCCCTCTTGAGGTGTCGTGGGCTAGTCGACGAAACACTGAGGACGGAAGGTGGCCACTTGAAGACCCTAGAGATGTCCCCTACTCGCCTCAATCCAGACGGTTGTCATGTTGGTCCACTAGGGAGACCACACTGTAGTTGCAGCCGTCGTGTGTGCTGACGCGGCAAGTACACTGCAGCCGTTACCGCCGGACAGAAGGGGAGTCACACCGCCATATGGAAAGAAGCGTAAATGGATGGAAAAGCATAGTTTACTGTAAAGCCACGTCTTAGCTTACCTTGGCGAAAGCCAAGTATAAATCAGCATGAAGTTTTAACATCTACTCTCGTGTAATGGAAATCATCTTGGCTGTACAGCAGATCTAGAAGAAAGTCACTGTTCAGTTTAACCATGTTTTGAATTTATCATTAATTATTGAGTAGCTTACACAACACCGTTTACTACTGAAAACAGAAAACTTTTGATGATTTACACAACAGCTGCGTTTTGGTGGCCTGGAAACGCAAACTTTAAATAGTTTTTTTTTTTGTAACGATGCCGTTATCATCGCCATCAAACTGTGAAAAATGTGAATCTGTGAAAATGGTGACGGATTGCACATGCGTATTACGTGTTTAGTCTAAAAGCATTGGGGTGTAACGGTATTCAAACTGAACCGAAAAACCACGATACACCATCCATGGTATGTAACGCGCCCCACCCTATCCCATTGTTGAGGTTGAACATAGACTGTAAAAAATATTTTTGTAGTGTCCATGACGTCATTTGTAGTGTTTCTGAAGTGGGTGGAGCCGGCCATCGCCATGTTGGCCGCGCGTCACTCCCAGATAAACACAAATGTGCAGTGAGGTGGATTAGCTGAAGTGACGCAATGCTAACGCTAGCAGACAAACGGCTAGTACTGACATCAGCAGCAATCCATCTGTCACTCAAGTGGCCTTGTCCTCTTAATTATGCAGAAGTTTAAGGCGTAATATAATTTAAACGGATAATTATATTAAGGTTGATCTTAGGATTACTGTGAGGGCTTCACCCCCCTCACAGTCGTCATGAAGGGCAACATTAGCGATATAGACCAAAACCACTTTTTGCACCAGTCTGTAAACATGTTTTATTCTGCTGTAAAGTTGGGCATTTTAACATGGAGGTCTATGGGATTGAGTCTACTTTGCCTCTAGTGGCCAGTCCATGAACTGCAGTTTAAGTCACTTCAGTGTTGGGTTCAAGAGAGAGACATGAGGGTTGCCAGTTGAGGTTGACCAGTTTACTTTGTCCCGCAAATTTTCGTGTCTTGTGTGTTCACGTCAATAATTGCAATGCGTTCCGTTTTATTGCTTTCGATTATCTTTCACATTCTGTCCGTTTTATCATGAAATTCAAACAATAAATGCCATTTTGATCATCTCAATCATCTCTTCCTCTTAAACACCAGTTACACAATAAACATCAATGAACATCAGAAGAAATGTTAAAAGATACTGAAGTGAGTCATCGCTCAATCAGTGTTTCAAAGGCAGAAATAAAACAGCTTGTAAACTAAATGTCACATGTCAAATGTCAAATGTCCACAGCTTTTTAGTTCGCTAGAGAAATGAACTCTATCTCTAAATGTATGCACTATATATAACCTGTTAGTGGAGTCTTGACTATTTAATGTAGGCTATGTTTAAAAAATCTGTCATGAAAATGACAGCAATGATTACAGGCAACGAATTGGAAACATATAGATGTTTATAGATGCAAGAACTTCCTTGTGTGCAGTTGACGTTTTGCATACAATTTATTTGAGTTTTGATTATTATATTTAAAAATAGAAACTGAATTTTAAATAGAAACTGAATTTTGGCAAATAGTTTGTGGTATGCTGTTAACCTTTAATATTGTAGTAATGTAAAGCTATTTTTTCCTGCATATTCTCACTATATCAGACTATGAGCAATAAATGCATAATGGATCAAATATGATTCTTAACAAAGAACATGATTTTTTTTGTCTTAATGTTCAATAAACTGTTCCGTTAAAAAAAAGAAGCTTTTTCTGACTAGTATTATTTAATATGTCAGGCTTTACAGGGTTAATAACAATCAATAATTAATCATCATTTAACGGTATAATAATGTATTAAGGGTCCTCAGAGCAACGATGGCAGCGCTCAAACCCCAGAGGACAACATGAGCGACGGCCAGGGAACAACACCCATCCCAGTTCAAGCCATGGTCAAGGTAAAACTGAACTCCTCTTCTCTGTAAATCTGTTATCAGCTCACTGCACGAAGTTCCTTGAATCCTCTGTTCTTTTCCGGTGCAACGCAGTCCAAAGTGTCTGAGAAGAACCGCCACAAGAAACCCAAAGACATCAAGCCGAAAGTGAAGAAGCTGAAGTACCACCAGTACATCCCACCGGACCAGAAGGCCGAGCGTTCTCCTCCGGCTCAGATGGACTCGGCGTATGCTCGTCTTCTTCAACAACAGCAGATCTTCCTACAACTGCAGATCCTCAGCCAGCAGAAACACACACACTCGCAGACACACTCGCAGACCAGCTTCAGCTACCAGATCAACCAGCACAAGTGAGTCCACACGTCATTCAGAAGCACAAATATCACCGGATAAACTACATCATCGAATCATTGTGTCCTATAAAGGGATGTTCAACAGTTTGGGTTCTGTGGGAATGTTGTTTTTTTTCATTAAATTAATCAAAAGTGACAGTAAGGAAATGTATAATGTTACAAAAGATTCTTTTTCAAATGAATGCTGTTCTATTGAACTTTCTATTCATCAAAGAATCTTGTATCACATTTTGGATGAAAAAGAACATCATTTATTTGAAATAGAATCTTTTGTAACATCATTTCAATTTGTTTCACAATTTTTTTTTACTCATGCCAAATGTTTAAATTGTAATGTGACACGCTTTCCACAGAAATCGCAAGTAGCACAACTGCTCCCTTTCAGTCGGTCACGTTCAATGTTGCGTCGAAGTGCCTACGTAATTGGGATCACTTCAGGGAGCTCTTTCATCTTCGAGTATCTACAGAACGAGCCAATGCACATTGGCGTTTGAGATTTGCATCTCGTGCCCCGCAGCAAGGATATAAATACGGAAGCAGATGCACGCACCTTTTGTTTTCCACTTTGGAAAGCTTCCTCTTTGTCTTCAGACTAAACCTCTTCAGTCAGAATCTCTCTCTCTCTCTCTCTCTCTCTCTCTCTCTCTCTCTCATCTGTGTGACGGCGTGAGTGGAGAACTGTTTCTGGGTGTGGTCGTTCCCTGGCACCAGCTGACGGCCACATTAGTTGGCTCTGGTGTTTGGGTATTCATCAGGCTGAAGGCTACTTATAGCCAGGGTGATCTGAGGATTACCATGAGGGCTTCCCCGCCGAGGCATTCTCCGTAGGGGCCCTCAACCTCTCAAACACAGCGGCCGTTGGAGCCTTCGGAGGAGCGCGTTGGACCTTCATGCACGCTGGTCTATCACCAGTCGTTTCCTTTGGGGCTCCAACTGACGATCAATGTGGGTCACAGCATCGGAGGGGGAGCTTCAGTCCTCTGGGGATGAAGACTCGGCTGCGTTCCCTCCCTCCGGGAGGTGTAGTGTTTCCCAAGACACACCTGGAATGCACGGTTATGCTTTCCCAGGTTGGGCTTGTGAGGAACCCTCCTGATCGTCAGGTTCCTGAGGGGGGTGAGGACATTAGATCCTCTTTGCCCACTCTCGATAAACTGTAGGGATTTGTCTCTGGTCCTTTCGACTCTTCAGAGACCACCTTTTAGCCAGGCCTAGCACTCGAATGCTTGAGAACCTGTACTATGCTGTCCGTATTTAGTGATCCCTGTGGCGATCCCATATGTTTATTCTTCTACGGTACGGCTTCTCAGGCTGGAGCCACCCCAGTGACATTTCATATGTTGTACTGCCCCTAACCGGCCAGCCCATATGTGTATTCTCCCCATGTTACCTCCCTTCGGGCAGGATCCCTCTCCTCTGGGAAGGCACGCTCCACTGTGTGGGTTATAACGGAGCAGCAGTTTGAGCTCCCTCTACGCAGGCCTTCCGCCCCAGCCAGTTGGGGGCCTGAGCGTCTTGCGTAGCGCGCTAGATGTGGCTGCAATCGTGGCGAGTTCCATGGGGATCCCAAATTATGTCGACGTGACGTAGAACGTCTAAACATTGTGATGTCTGTCAGCCATCATGATGGAAGATGATATCGTCAAAAAAACAATCCTGAGAATAAATTTACCAGATTTAAGACAAAACTGAAGCAAAATTATAGTCAGTCAAACACAACCTCTTTGAAGTCCCCCCCCCTCCCTTAGAAAGTTATACTTTTATTGCCGTATAAAATTGTCTACATGTAACAATCCCTAAGAAAGTTATTGCCATTTATTACAACATTATTATAGGTGCTTTTCAGTGAAAACTGGTGTTGTTTCCAGCATTCTCACTGATGTGTGTGTGTGTCAGGTCGTCCGGTGAGCAGCAGGCCTCATGTGCTTCAGCAGGCAGTAGCAGCAGCTCGTCGTCTCCAGTGAAGAGTAACTACTGCAGTCCGTCCTCCATCAACTCCATCAGTCCCGCGCCGCTGCCCAACAACCTGGACGACCTGAAGGTACTGACGATGACCCAAAGCTTATACGCCCTCTGGTGCTCTTTGCTATTTTTTTACCGAACTTCTTTACATTTGGTAAAGAGAAAGGCTCACCAAAACAATGTTTTCTAGGTTGGTAGAGGCACTGGGGACCTGATTATAGCACTTAAACATGGAAAAATCTTGATATGTCCACTTTGAAAGTCTGAAAGTCTTCTGTGTCTTCAGGTGTCCGAACTTCGACAGCAACTGCGCATACGAGGCCTCCCCGTCTCCGGCACCAAAACGTCTCTCATCGAGCGCCTGCGTCCCTTTAAAGACTCCAGCTGTGCTTCTCCATCAGGCTCCGGCGACGTCAGCACCGGCCCGTTCCCCGCGACTCCCGGCGGATCCTCCTATCAGTCCCCGGCGTCCCACGGGCCCGGCTTCTACCCGTTCTGCAGCAGCGGCTCCTCGCCCCCCATCTCCCCGGCCTCCTCGGACCTCTCGCTGCCCGACAGCTTCAGCGACGGCACGTTGTCGTCTCCACACCTCGGCCCGGACGCGGAGAAGGACAAGATGCTGGTGGAGAAGCAGAAGGTGATCGAGGAGCTGCGCTGGAAGCTCCAGCAGGAGCAGAGGCAGGTGGAGGAGCTGCGCTTTGAGCTCCACAAGAGGAGCCGCGAGTGTCCCGTGATCATGGAGCCTCCGGTTCAGGTTCCGCAGGGCTACGGCGTGTCGGTCAAGCAGGAGCACGTGTCCTCCAGCTGCCCGCTGTCCTCCGAGCAGGGGACCGGAGTGTGTGTGGGTCACTGCGACCCGGGTCTCTCCGCCTTCATGAGTCCTCAGTGTTCTCCTCAGGAGTCTCCCGTTACTAAACCCTCCGCCAGTCCTCAGCCCGAGTCGCCTGTCCAACCGTTCCTGCTGAGAGACTCGCACAGACCCGCTCGCAGCATGCAGGTGCGTCACGAGCACGATCATTTATTCAGAAATACATTAAACAGGTTGCATGTGTATATGCATACATGAGAATGATCCAATGCGACTTTATGTGTGTGTACTTATGGGTGTGAGCTCAAAATCTGTAGAAACAAGTAAAATTATGGTCAGTACGTAGGGTTGCCAACTTTCTGATTTAGAAAAAGCAAGGGGGGGGGGTACCTTATACACTTCAATACAAGGTGTAGCCTTGTGTGAACTTATTACTTATTCAATAGATTTTAGACATCTAGAATCTTTCAAATGCAAAAAAAAAAATAATAATAATAATTTAGTAGTTTTTCTTATCATAGCGTACAAATGTCTTCTGAAACTCCTTTTCCTCGATTTACTGAAGCCTATATGTAAAACGCATTTGCAGCTGCACAGCCGTGTATCTATGCTGCCAAGTCCCCGAATTTTCCATTATTGCAGGTCTTCGATCATTTATAGTCTGTCTGACATATATATTAGAAGCTATGTGTCTGTCATGGATATGCACTGAACTGATTCTCAAAAATACGGAACAAAGTGCGTTGCGTATCAGTTCAATACGGAACAAGACTTTTATGTGTCAAATATGGAACGATTCCGTATTATACGGAACGGTTGGCAACCCTGTCAATCCCACGCTGAAATACAAGTACTGTAACAACAACCATATTCGTCCGATTCAATCCAATCATATTCTGATTCTGAGCAAATAAAGCGAGTGAGTGAGGAGAGGCGGGTTTGTGTGTCACTCGCTGTCGGTGAGAGAGAGAAACACTGGGATCATGTAGATACATAATAGATAATAATAGATATTCTATAATAGATATAATAGATAATAATAGATAATAGATTATCATATAATAGATAATAGATACAATAATATAATATATATATATATATATAATATATATAATAATTAATAATAATAATAATGATATAATATAATAATAATAATTATATATATATACATATTATTATTAATAATAATAATAATATAGATAATAATAGATCATAGATATAATAGATAATAATAGA